AGATAGTGTGATGGTTACCCAACATTGTGACCATACCTAATGCCTAATATTGTATACCTTAAAATGGTTAAAATGGTAAATGGTATTTTACCACAATTTTTTAAAAAATAAATGTGGAAGTATTGGGTTTTTTTCTCCTCTATTTTCTGAAAGAAATGTGTTCCTTGCAAATATATGTTCATAGCAGTTATATTTAGTTGGGTAGTCAAAACTATGGTAACCAATGGCTTAAGGAACAAGAGTTTCTTCCAAGATCACCTTATGTATACAAAAATATATGTTTATTTAGATAAATATATGCAAACATATTTATGAAACTTATCAGCCTAAGGGATAATATTCTTACCAGCACTTGTATTTTTTAAATGTGTATTGTCTTTATGTATGTGTGTGTGTATAAATATAGAGATGTGTAGTTCTATGAATATGCATAACTATATGTAATTGTTGACATACTTAATATTAAATCAAATTTTATAGAAGGAATAAATATAATTAAAAGCTGATATATAAGTTCCCAAAAACTTAGTAAGGAATAGAATTTAGAGTATCAAGAGAAAGGAATAAGCTTGTCCTATGCCTTACACCAATCATTCTTAACTTTGGGGGGATCTCATATACTTTTAGAATTTGATGAAAGCTATTGTTCCTTTCCTTAGAAAAATGAATGAGCACATATTATGCACACATTATTGTGCCTATTATTGTGTGCTGGAGTCATACATTCATGAAGTACAGTAAAACTCTGGCTTATAAGCATAATTCCTTCCAGAAACATGCTTGTAATCCAAAGCACTTAGATTCCAAAGTGAATTTCCCCGTAAGAAATAATGGAAACTCCGATGATTCATTCCACAATCCAAAAATATTCATATAAAAATGACTACAATATTGCAACATAATACAAAATAATAAAGAAAATACAAAATATAAAGAAAAATAAACAAATTAACTTACACTTACCTTTGAAAACCTTCATGGCCAGTGTGAGGGAGACAAGAGAGGAGGGTTATTGTCACTAATGGATGTTAGCTACAGTACAGTATTAATAAATGCTTGTCATATACTGTATTAATTTAATTATACATTAAATAATGTAACTTGTAGTAAGGCAGCAGAGGAAAGGGTCTATGTCTGCAGGCAGCCTGACCTAGAATGAGGCAAAGCATTCCTAAGCTTACTCTTGTATGGAAAAGCAAAGGACTGTCCACAGCTGCTTTGAAGTGACAAAAAAATACACTAGCGCCAGTTGTGGGCACCTTCCAACATCCTGAAAAATCACTTATTTCTGCCAAACACTGCAGCTTGAAACTGAGCATCTGAGCATGGGAGATGACCACCCACAATCCCAAAGCAAGAGAGAGAGAGAGACAGAGACAGAGAGAGAACCATTGGCTCAGTTGGGATCATGTGACATTCAGCATCATGTACAACTCATAATGCAAGGCGTCGCTCATTTATCAAGTTAAAATTTATTAGAAATGTTTGCAGATCTTAAGGAACACTCGTAGAACGAGTTACTCGCAATCCAAAGTATATCCATAGATGCCTGGACCCTCTGTTAAAATTCCTGCTTTAAACTGTCCCCATCAAATGTCACTTGTCTCCACTAAACTTTTCATAGAAATATCAAAACAGAATAAGTAATGTTCAGGTCTTCTATAATAGTGATTGCAGAGACAATTACATTCTTTCACTGCCGGGCATCTCTTCTTCCCTCCCACCTCACCCACAAATCCCTTTCAGTTATTTCTACCCCTATTTGCCCATTAATTTCCCCTCACATCACCCAGGACTCTACCCACACAGTTGTAGGAGTAGTGAGCTGCTTTACGTGCCTCCAGTCTCTCTGTCCCACCCTATTCCAGTCTCCGCCACAAAAATAATCTCTCCAAAGACCAGGGTTTTTTTAATTGTGTTTGTTGCTGCTGTGTTTTATTTTTGAGCCACCTAGCACAATGTTTAAGATTAGTTTGCCATACAAAATCAAAACCCAGCCTTGTTCTTACTAGCTGTGTGATATTGGACATGCTGCTTGATCTTTCAGTTTCTACTTCCTTATCTAGAAAATGAGGGCAATAATGTAATTTAAGGACTATTGTAAGGAATAATGAGATAATGCATGTAAAGTGATTTAAAGTGATTAGCAAAGTACAAGGACATAGTGATGCTCAATAAATACTTCCTGAATACATTAAATATTTTGCCTCAAGGTTTTTAATTTAATGCTTTTGCTAATTCCATTCTCCTTATCCCTTCCTATCACACCACCACCTCCTGCATTATATCTTTTTTAATCCTATAGCTATATGTGATCTCTCCCACTTCTTAATTTATCAGCCTTTTCGATTTATTATGGTGGAGTAGCCTAATGGTGAACACTCTGGGACCAGATTATCTAGACATGAATATTGACTCCTTCATTTGCTAGTTTTGTGGCCTTGGGCAGGTCATGTAAGTCCCATATGGCTTATTTTGCCTATCTCTAAATGAGATACAAAACCTAGTGTCTATTGCAAAGGGTTTTTATGAAGATCAATATAACTAATTTGTAGAAATGGCAAAACTAGAGAGAGAGAGCTAGAGTGGGGATGGGAACAGAACAGACAGGGAGAAGGGGCTAGCCACAAATGGGCATAAGGGAACTTTTGGAAGTGAGGAAATATGTGTTGGAAGTTCTTTTTTTTTTAATGTTTATTTTTTTTTGAGAGAGAGAGAGAGCACAAACGGGAAGAGCAGAGAGAGGGAGACAGAGGATCCAAAGAGGGCTCTGTACTGTCAGCAGAGAGCCTGATGTGCGGCTTGAACTCACGAACTCTGAGATCAGAACCTGAGCTGAAATTAAGAGTCAGACGCTCAACCGACTGAGCTACCCAGGCTCCTGTGAGAAAATATTCTAACCCTGGATTGTAAAAAGAAACAAGTGAATCCCATGACAAATATTTTTAAAACTGGGTTGTGGCCATGCTTTCATAAGTATAGAAATTTACTACTCTTTCTCAAATGTATGCGTGTATGCTTAAGCTGGTTAAATTTTATAGTATTTAAATTATAGTGAAGCTTTTTTTAAGTGTATTTACTTATTTTGAGAGAGAGAGAGCATGTGCATGCATGCATGCTGGACCATGAGTAAGGAAGGGGCAGAGAGGAAAAGAGAGAAGGAGAGAGGAAGAGAGGGGGTGTGTGTGGGGTTAGAGAGAGAGAGAGAGAGAGAGAGAATCACAAGCAGTCTCTGTGCTGTCAGTGCAGAGCCCAATGTGGAGCAAGATCGTGACCTGAGCTAAAACCAAGAGTTGGTTGCTCAGCTGAGCCACCCAGGTGCCCCATAAAGCTGTTTTTAAAAAAAGATAAATGATTTGTGGCAAAGGCCTAAAGAAGTACCAAGCACAGACTAAGCACATAGGATCTGTTAGCTATTGTTACTTTAAACTGCTTTGGGTTATTTATGGTTCTTTATCAGATTATTTAGAGTATCTCATGTTCTTGCTCTCATACTTTCCTTCCCCTTCCCTAAGCTAAGTCTGAGCTTAATTCTGGCACTAGCCCTGCCCATCATTAGGTACTTACTAAACACTATATATAATGGTAAGGTTTATGTCTAGCATGAAAATGTACTGGTTTGGGTTGAGGGTCCCACAAGTTTGTGTATACAAAAAGGACTGAATTGTGCATTTAGGTGGCTCATTTTTCACCTCTATACATACTAAGGAACAGTCAGTATTGAGTATAGCTTTTAAATACCAAGGATCACGGTGATTGTTTTGATGCTAATCTCTGTAGCTGGAAGACTCTTGCTTTCTCTAGACCTGATTTTCTCTGGTCACACCTGAAGGGCCATTCCCAGAATTAGCATACTGTATTCTTGGCATTTGAGGTATTCCCTACACATCAAAGCTATCTTGCTCTACTTGAATAGTTACGATTTCCTCAAAGAAAAAGTACATCTTCCCATATAAGTTCTTCAAGCAGCCTGGACAATTATTTCCCAGGAACCAGAAGAAAAATTGTGAATGAGATTCTAACAGTCTTTGAAGAAAAAGACAGGAATGTTCTGTGCTGTTTGGGAAATAATATTAAAAAAGAAAAGGAGAAGGAGAAAATTATTATTATTAGAAATAATAAAAATTAGAAAAACAAAAACGAAATTCTTTCTGTCCATGTCATCTTACTGAGCACTCCAGAGGAGAAAATTATCAACTCCACATTGCTTGTTAGAAAGGAGCAGAGACCAGATCAGCCCTAGAATGGTGAGCTGAGTATCTCTTCGAAGCAGGCACTTGTTTTAGCCCAATGTCTAGTTCTTTGAAAAAGGTATCTGAGGGACGCCTGGGTGGCTCAGTCAGTTAAACGTCCAACTTCGGCTCAGGTCATGATGTCATAGTTCGTGGGTTCAAGCCCCCCATTAGGTTCTGTGCTGACAGCTTAGAGCCTGGAGCCTGTTTCAGATTCTGTGTCTCCCTTTCTCTCTGCCCCTCCCCCACTCGTGCTCTGTCTCTCTCTGTCTCAAAAATAAATAAAACAAAACAAAAAAAAATTTTTTTAATTGAAAGAAATTTTTGAGATTTATATCTACCTTGAAAGTTTTGGGCTTAACTTGGGGGCCTTGGGAGTATGAAGTGCTGGGCTCAAAGAGAAGAAAGAACGTTTCTTAGGATAGGTAAAGAGAAAAAAAATAAAGCAATCTACCTTCTTGGGCATTTTCACAGTAAACTCAAATCAGCAGGAAGATGACAGACCATCAGGTTTAAAAACAAAATCACTAGCTAGCCTATTATTGCACAGATGTACTTTTTTTAAACAAGATACTGTGGATCTCTGATGTTTACAAAATCAAAACAACCCACTGAGTTTTCCATCTGCCATTGTTTCATTTCAGAGAAAAAAAAATAGCTTACTTTTAAAGCTTAGGAGTTTTTGTAATCTTTAATATATTACTCAGAATGGGCTTTTCCATTTCCTTTTATTGAATGCCCAAATTAATTCCTTTACTGTTCACACAGGGACAAAGGCAGGAATTAGAAAAGATGCATCCACATCTCCTATGACAACAGGAAGCCAAAAGGAGCTTGTAACCACAACCACATCATCACTGCAGCAAGACAGTGCCCGGTAAGCTTCGGGTGACCTTCAGTGTAACATTCTTTAGTTAAGAGCTTTTGCGGGGAGCTACTTCACACGGAGTGGAAAGTCTTGACCATTCTTAATAACTGTTACTCAGAAGAGACGCCTTATTTGGCAGCATCTGGATTTGGCCAGGTTGAACTCATGAGCCCTTTCTTTTACACATGCTCTGCCTTGACTGGAACTGGTAACTGGCAAGGATTGCCAAAGAAAAGAAAAGTTAATCCTATCATTCATCAGAAAATGTGCTTAGCAACAGGTCTTTCCCAATTTATCACAGAATAGTTATATACTTTGGCTATAAGTTTAACTAATTGAATTAATTGATACTGAAATTTAAAGTGGGTTTTGTATTATGGTTTTAAGGTCTGTCAACATTTACTGACACTAGAAGCATTTGAAGAGTTAGTTGTTTGATCAAACTTTTCTGGAGCCAGGAAAGAAATAGAGGTTAAAATTTCTCACATCCAATAAGCCAACCACCATGTAATGTTTTTAAAGCTGAATATATAAAATCCACACCAAAAAGGCATAGTTTAGACTTTCTTGGGAATGTGATTATTTGAACCCTAAATTCACAGCATTTTATCAGATGAATATAGATGTTAAGACTTCATTTTAATTATAAACAACTTTTGGGAAATAACTCTAATGCGAAGACAATAATAATGGCTGCCATCATTAGCATCTGTTATGTACAGAGCCCTTTGTATGAATTACCTGATTTAATCTTCATCACTGCTTTATAAAGTGGTACTACTATCCTCCTCCTTTCTAAAATTAGGAAATTTGTTTTCTTAGTTTTCTTGTCTAAGAAATTGAGTGACTTGTCTAAGGTCACATAGCTAATAAGATGTAGAACTAGAGTTTCAGACTCCAAAGCCCATCATCTTAAATATTATAATAGGTGACAATGACAGCCTCCTTATTTCTTCAATCAAAAGAAAATTTAACTAGTTTACCACATTCTTTGTCCATTACTCCTTTATTTCATTTTTAATTCTGCCGTTATTAGCATTTTCCAAGTACCCACATAGAGCTGTAATTCTGAAATGTTGAAAGGGCTTCCTCCTTAGACTGCTTAGCAGTGCGGCTGAATGCTTCTACTCAAAGGTCCATCCCAGGTACCTTGAGGGCTTCCTCTGGAGGAGGTACAGGTAAAAAGAAGGAATGATCTGGATTTTCTGGGGCACCTGGGTGGCTCAGTTGGTTAAACGTCCAACTTCTGCTCAGGTCACGATCTCTCGGTTTGTGGGTTTGAGCGCCCCCCCCTGCCCCACCCTCTCCCCCTCCCCATCAGGCTGTTTGTTGTCAGCTTGGAGACCACTTTGGATCCTCTGTCTCCCTCTCTCTCTGCCCCTCCCCCACTTGTACACGCATGCTCTCTCTAAAAAATAAAAAAATAAAAAAGAAATAAAAATTAGAAAAGGAATAGTCTGGATTTTCAATCTTAGTGAATTTTCCTATTGAAGATTAAAGTGAGATCCTTAACACGACTTTAATGTTTTTTGATGATTGCATTTCAGTTTAGAGAGAAGCATGAAAAAGAAGAATAAAATGTTTCCCCAGTAAGAATTTTGTAGAACATTCTCAGCACACGTTTTCTGAATGGACCATATCAACTTTGTACAGTTTTACAAGCCCAGGTTAAAATTGCTGTGAAGACTCATATTTACAGACCTTAAATAAAGGATTCTGTATCCATTAGTTCTTAATACTGCAAATCAGCTAAATATAGTTTCTCAGAGGTTTCTTAAATAATAAGTACTTAACTTAATAAAACAATGTGTAACACACTGGACTTCATCCTTAGAAGTGCATGATGGCATATCATAGGTCTATTATACAAAGTGCAGAGTTGAAAAAAAAGATTCAGTACTATGAAAATCAGTTACCAGAAAGGCACAGTGGTTGCTTTCCAGATTTCAGAATCAGGATTATTTGAATTATTTTTATTTCAAAGTGTAGAAAAGGAATTTTTTATAGACTACTTTTCAGTTACACGCAAACTCTTACTACAAGACAAAACTCTGTTCTTAATCCCAACAAACCTTTGAGGGCACTGAGAACAAGAGTAAAAGCCCATCCACTCTAAATTCCAAGAATTTTCAAAACTTGCAAAAAAGGATGGGGCATGGAGGAGGGCACTTTGGGGATGAGCACTGAGTGTTATGTAGAAACTAATTTGACAATAAACTATTTGTAAAAAAAAAAAAAAAAGGATGGGGGTGGGACAGATGCTCATGGGAAACAGGTTTTCCTTTGTTCTCTGAAAAGCACTAACACCTAGAAGAGTCCCGCGTGGTTCCACGTGCAGGTGATAAAACCAGGCGTGGCAAAGTCATCTTTCTCATTCACAATGTAGGCTGTTAATTGTTCTCTCTGCTGCCTGTCAATATAATGTGAAATTTTCATTCCCCATTCAAGATGGAAAAAGTTGTGGCTGAAAATGTTAACATTTGCATTTTTATTTGTTGATTTATTTAAAGGACAGCCTCTCCTGCAGCAATCCATCACTTGGTGACACCCCAAATATGAATAATGTATTGTAGACTTGCGGTTACAATGTGTAATAAGTGCTAGAGACAGTAAAGGAATGTTAACTATGTTGCAAATGTAATATTTATTGACTCGTAAAGTTTATTACTTTCGAGGTTCAATAATACTGACCATAGGACATTAATACCATTTATCCTGATTTTAGCTGGGCACCTTTATATGTAGAAATATTCATCTATCTCATGCTAACAAAATAAATATGTACTTTACAGCACAAGCAAAGAGGGCTTTCTAGTTTTCTGTGCGGAGAGCTGCAGTGCTTCTTTCTCTTCTTTCACTTCTGGCCTCCAGCATTGATCACACACCCGAGGGCTGTCCGAGAGAGTGAGCACAGTGGTCATCTTGGCACAAGAGGGTGGTGCTGCAAAACCAAACAGCGCCATGCATTTCTGCCTGGCTGAACCTCACAAACCCACTTGCCCTGGAGAGAGGCTTTTCTCCCTGTCCTTCGGAACACCTGGTGGGGAGTGCACCAATGATCAGAAAGTTCAACAAATACTTCTCCAGCCGAGACCCTGAGTCAGTTTACAGATTCCACTTGATCCTCTGGTCTCCAAGGTGAAACCAGAGCTGGTCAGGGTACCAATTAACTTCTTATGAGTGCAACTGTTACTGAGAATTAACCCTTTTGTGCCTTCCAGAATTAGGTATTCCCATTGCCACCAACAAAGATCATACAGGAAATATCTGACACCCAAAGCAAAAGAAGTAATGTTAATTAGCAACCATCAGCTGTAATTGTCATCCCCATTAAGATGCAGAATTATGTATTTCTTCGTTATAAATAACCTTTCTAATTGTACTTGATGTATGCCAATTTAATCAAAAAGTATACTTGCAACAGACAGATATTTGCATTTATGTAGCTTTGAATCTTTAAATCTTTTATTTCAAATTTAGGGAGAAAAAGCATATTAACAGCTGTATATTCTTTATACATGGGTATCTTTTTCTATCTAGGGATGGAGATCTAATACATTTTATATTAAAATGAAGACAGTATCGTGTGGGCTTGTTCAGTGAAACAGAAATCTTGTCGCTTTTTAAAATGCCAGTGAAGTTTCTCTCAGTCATATGACAACTCTCATTGGTAATTGTTCCAAACTGATAAACAGAGGCATATACCAGGATGACATTTGCAGTCCCAGAGGTAAAAAGTAAAAGTGATGTGGTTTGGAGATGGGGGAGGGGGGGGTTCCAGAGCTGACAGCCAGGAAAGAATTCTTGAAACGTCTTTGGTGCAAAAAGGTAATTTTATTAAAGAGTGGGGACAGGACCTGGGGCCGAAAGAACTGCACTGGGGTGGTGAGGAGGGACTGATTGTATACAATTAAGCTGGGGGAGATCAAGGCAAAAGGGAGTTTTCCAGATATTTCCAAATATCTTTCCAGTTTTCCAGTTTATGCCAAAGAGGACTCACTGGATACTGGAGGCCTAGCTTGTCAGGCTAAGGTTGTTTTTCCCTCTCTTAAGGCATTAACATTAACACAGTAGGCGTTCCTGGAGAACTGTTATACTCTGCCTGTCTCAAGTATTTGTCAGTGGCTGCAGGTTATAAGGAAATGTATTTTACCTGCCATTTCCTTCTGACCTTTGTTCCCCACATCACTCTGATGATGTTGGGGCCCCCGTAAACTGAGTCTGTACATTTCTGGAGATTAGGCTATTTATTGATAAGATTGCCTTTTTCTTGTAATTTACTAAGACATTTGTAAACTGATGGAGATTCTTACGTCCTACATGACTGCGATCTCTATCAGTTAACCATTGTTTTTCTCCTTTCCTTTGTTCTTGGGCAGTGGGGAGTGCCTGAGGAATATCACACAGATCCCACCTAGGGGAGCTGTGCGTGGTTTTAGCTTGCCTTATGCTCCCTAATCAAAAGGCTTCTTTCTGTTGTCTCCTGATTCATAAGACTTAAGGCTGATACTATGGTTTTCGTGTGTGTGTGTGTGTGTGTGTGTGTGTGTGTGAGAGAGAGAGAGAGAGAGAGAGAGAGAGATGTGATGTGATGTGATGTGATGTGATGTGATGTGATGTGATGTGATGTGATGTGATGTGAAGAGAGAAAATCAGATCTCACCAAAGTATGCCCAATTACTGAATTTGGGGAACTGGAGCTATAGTTAGCCTATTTCTAGGAAGCACCATTCACGTCTCTACTCCAGCTTTTTTCAGAGAAATTAGTTTTTACCACTACTCAGAGTTGAACATTTTTATTTTGTTTTGTTTGTGTCTTAGATTTGTTGGAGAGGGTGGTTTTGTGGAGCTTACTTTTTGTTGTGGGGGTAGGAACATATTTGAGCACATATTTTCAAAGATTTAATAGCCTATTGGGGGGCTTTTTTTAAAAATAGCTTAATTTGTTCTTTTTTTTTTTTTTTTAAGACTGTGGTCCTTTGCTGTCAAGCCATATGCTTAATTGTCCT